ATTGGGGAACAGAGCTGGACTGGGGAACAGAGCTGCATTGGGGAACAGAGCTGCACTGGGGAACAGAGCTGCTTTGGGAAACAGAGCTAGCGTGGGGAACAGAGCTAGCGTGGGGAACAGAGCTGGACTGGGGAACAGAGCTAGCGTGGGGAACAGAGCTGCAGTGGGGAACAGAGGTGGTGTGGGGAACAGAGCTGGCGTGGGGAACAGAGCTGCACTGGGGAACAGAGCGGATACCAGGGACTCCTGTGCTGTGGTCGAGAGGCCTGGAGAACAGGGTCTGTGGCAGCTCGCCTTGTGGGCTGACAGCAGGCTGAACACTTTCCCCAGCCCACCTCTCCAGCTCCTCTGGGTCCTCCCTGCAGCTGGAGTTGGGGGATGCGACCCTGCCCCCCGCCAGGGTCTAAGACCGGAGGCCCTAGGCACTCAGCGGTGTGACGTCACCTCAGCCCTGGTGTCAAGTTGGGCATGTTCCAAAGCCATGAACTGCAGGGAGGAACTGGAAGGAGCTGTGGCTCGGCAATCGGTGCCCATGCCCCTCGGCTGGTACATGTCTGCAGAACAGCCTACCTGAGGGTGCTTCTGGTCGTCCTGTCCTTGAATGGCTGGAATAAAATAACTTCTCTTTTGAGGAGCAAACGTCTGAAATTTCCCTGCTGCTTTCTCGCCCACAGCACCCCCTGGTGGCAAGGTCTGGGCATTGCAGCATGCCTGGTCTGGGGGAAAAATGGGATTTCCTGGCGAATGAAGGGAGACCCGGCGGGCCAAGCATCCCCACCCCAGACACCAACGGTGGAGAAAGGAGCTCAAGGTAACAGACGCCGGGATCTTGCCACGTGATAGAATGATTTATTAGAACAAATTCCATGACAACTCATATAAAATAACCATTTTCTGAAAGACATCCATGAGACCACCTGAGGACACACATACAGAAGTACCTCCAAGAAGCCAGACAAATAAGTTACTGATCCCAAGTCGAAGGCTGGAAGGGGGAGGAACAGGAATTTGTGAATAAAAAAACGTGTACGGCAATCACTGAGGGTGGGTGCATGAGAATGGCCACTGTTTGTTTCCAGGGGACAGGCTGTGGGCAACTGTGTGGGGCATGCAGGAGGCCGGAGGGGCCCAGCGCCACCTCCGTGTGGACACAGCAGGCTCGAGGGGCGGGGTCCCGCAGGGAGCCCACCACCACTCACACACATACGTAAACATCACGGGGGGGGGGGCACAGGACCCATGCACGCGACTCCACGTCAGCTAAATGTAAACACAGAGACACACATCACCCGTGGCGGCCCGGACTCACACCCACCGGCCCCAGGCCCCATCCCGCAATCGCCACTCACACAGGTACCAGGCACGGTGCAGAGCGACCCGCCCCCACCTGCCACAGCCCACGGGCTCTTTGGCTTAGAGGCTCCAGAAACATCCCCCTTGCCCCGGGGGGGGTGCTCTGCCCACCCGGCATGTTCCCCGCTGAAAGAACCCTGAGAAGGCAAGACTGTCCCTGGGGGCCCCTCCCTGCCCCCCACCCCCCACCCCCCACGGGACCAGGAGTACAGCAGTCTGCAGGGCCCCGAGCTGGCTGCAGACACCCCAGGAATGCCCACAGCATCAGGCAGGATGGGGGTGAGGGCTGGGGGAGCGGGTGCGGCCCAGGGAGCTTCTGGAAGCCTGGTTTCCCGCCCCCTCGGTCTAGTGCCCCCCTCCCTCCCCCCGCCCCCAGCCCAGGACCGCAGGAAGCCAAGTGCAGGAGCCCGGCCTCCGTGGCTGGGCGGAGCCGCCCCACGCTGTGGACACGCGCCTGGGCGAGCCGTGAGCCTGGGCGCACGTGTCTGGCATGGGCATGCCTGCGTGCTCGGCCCATGTGGCCGCAGCCTGCACGCGCAGTGGGCTTGGCAGTTGCATTGGCACCCAAGGCTTGAAGTAGTGGGGTTCCGCCCCAAACGCCTCCACAGGCCACATCCCCGCCCCAGGCCCCCCGACCCCGGGGCAGCGGGGAGCCGCCCGGCCCTCGGCAGAACTGGCTGCGAGTGCGCTGGCCGGGGGCACCCTGCCCTCGGGTCCCGGGGCTTCAGCAGCCCCTCCTGGCTCCGTGTTTGGCACTGAATGACCGCCCCCACCCCCGGCCCAGCCCCTCTTCCTCCGCCTGGCCCCGGCCCGCACACAGGGACGGGACACGTAAGCCCACGGGAGCCCTCAGCAGAACAGCCGCCCCAACACAAGAGGCGGGGTGAGGGCCTTCCAGGCCCGGGGGCTGCTGCAGTGGCCCAAGCCCCTCTTTCCTTAAAAGCTAAAGACAGAAATAACAGCAGTGGGGAGGAGGGGGGGTACACACCTGTGACGCTGGCCCTTGGCGGAGGCCACAGCAGGAGCTGGGCCAGGAGGACAGCGGGGGTGGCCACAGGGGCTGGACCGTCCAGCTGGGGCGCCGGCTGGGAGCTAGGGAGGGCTGTGGGCACAGAGGCACCTGCCCACAGGGTTATGGCACGTGGGGGTCTGTGGCGAACGGTCCGCAGCCGGGAAGGGCCGTGGCGGCAGACAAGGGGCTGGAGGTGCTGGACCCAGGGCACGCGGAGGCCGCCCCGGCCCCGGCCGCCTAGATCAGGAACCTCTCGGCATCGGGGAGGAAGTCGGGCAGGAAGGCAGGGTCCGGGAGGCCCGGGGACCCGCAGTTCGCCCGCTGTGGGAAGCTCCTCAGAGGCAGGGCCGAGGGGGGTGAGGATGGGCTCTGGGCAGCCGGCCGGCCTTTCCCCAGCTGGGCCGAGCCCGCGGAGCCCCGGTTCCCGGTCAGCAGGTCCAGGTTCCCGCTGGGGTCCACGATGGCGTTGATGACTGCGGGGGCGGGGAGGGTCAGGCCGGCCGGCGGGTCCTTCCTGCCTCCCGGCCCACCCCGGGGTCCCTCTGCTGGTGCCTCGGGCAGCACCTGGGGCCACACCCACCTTCCAGTTGCTTCTGCACGCGCCTCAGTTCTTTCAGGATGGAGCTGATCTCCTGGAAGCGGGCGGGAGGGGGCAGATGGAGCAGGGCCGCCAAGGGGGTCACACCCCACTCCCTGCAGCCCGGCGGCTGGGCGCAGGCCGGCCCTCACCTTGTTGGATGTCTTCAGGATGGGCACCTCGTTCTCCGAGTTGATTCTGGCTTCCACCTCCTCCCAGGCACGCCCTGTGTTCTGAAAGAGGATCCTGCCGCCGAGGGGGGAGGCAGAGGACAGTGATGATGGAGCCCAGACACAGGCAAGCCCAGACCCCCCCGCCTGGGCCCAAGGGGAAACACAGGCCCAGCACCGGAACAGGGCTGGCTGGAGCCAGAGTCCCGGCCTCTGGGCCTGACGTGCGGAGGGCTGGTCTGGAGGCTGGGGTCACCCTGGGGCTCTGGTTCCCGGGAGCCGGGCATGCGTGTGTGCACGGGCACCCCCTGGGTGATGTCCCCCCCCCACCGCGGCAGGTCCTCGCTGATGGGTGTATGTTCGTGTCTGTGTCTGAGGGGAGTCTGGGGGGCGGCTCCCACTGGCCCACAGAGCTTGCGGGGCCCTACGCACTTCATCTTCTCGGCGAGGTGCTCCGTGTTCTCCCGGATGGCGTGGGACAGCTGGGACACGGGGTTCAGCATCAGGTTGTCAAAGATCACCTGTGAGGACCAGTGTCAGCATGACGCCCGGGAGCCCTCCGGAAGGCCCTGCTCCCCAGGCACACCCCAGCGCCCGGCCGGGAGGGCCCCGTGCGCACAGCCAGGCCAGCTCTCTAAGGGGCGGGGGGGGTGCCTGCCTCCTCGCGGCTCCGAGGCCGCATCTTGCTGGCGAGGGGGTCCTCACAGCGGTCGTTCATGTTCTGGTCCAAGTCTCGAGAGCTAAGGGAGCCAGGGGGCACCTTCTGGAAGTTGAGGCTGGCCTCGGGGATGCGCTGCACCAGCTGCGGACAAGGGCAGGTGGTGAGAGCCCTCCGGGGTGGGGGCATCGCCAGCAGGGGCAGACACCATGCCTCCGCCCCGACGACAGCAGGGCGACGGAGTGGACCCCCAGCCCAGTCCGCTGGGGGCCCCGGGATGCCCCAGCCCCCAAGGAAGGCGGATCCCAGCCCCCGTGCTTCAGGGCGGCCGTGTCGGGAGCCGAGCACGGGACGCACAGCCTTGGCGAGGGCTCGTGGCTCAGACCGCCCGGGCACGCAGCTGTGCGGGGCGGGGCCGACGCGGCCAGGACCGGGGACCAGGCCAGACCTCAGCAGGGTGGTGGCGGGGCGTACCTCCTCACGGGCGGAGATGGTTGAAGCAGGGGTGCTGGGCACGTTGCTGAGGGAGGGGCTGCGGGCGGGCCCCGGCGAGCCCAGCGAGTCGCCGTCCCCGGCCACGTCGTGGATCTCCCGGGCCAGGATGGCCACATCCTTCACTAGTGTCTGGCTCAGCCTGCACCCAGAGGAAAGAAGGCGGGTCCTGCAGGGTCCTCCTGGGCGGGGCACCAGCGCTGGGGAGGTCGGGGGGGTCGGCAGCCTGAGGGAAACCTCCCCGGGCCGCCCTCCCCTCTCAGGTGGAGGCAGGAGCCCTTCCCAAGAGACAAGTGCAGGGTGAGGGGCAGGGGCTGAGGGCATGCAGCCTCCAGCCTGGCCCAAACTGTGCCCAACCAGCCACTGGCGATGCCAGACAGACAGGGCCCCAAAGAAGGCTCAAGTGTCCGATGCCCCAAGGAGGGTGGCAGAGGTGGGGCTGGGACTGGGCAGGAAGGGCGGGCGGAGGCACCCCCACGCTCCAGAGCAGGCCACACCTTCCCCTCTGGCCACCCAGGCCCTACTCTGCAGGCAGGGACACTGAGGCAGGGAAGGGGTCACAGACAAGGATCAGAGGCAAGCAACGGGTGAGATAGGCAGGCGGAGACCAGGAACCTTCCCGCAGGGGAGGGAGGGAGGCCACGGGAGGCCAGGCTCCCAGGCCCAGCCCGGCCCCACTCACACCCCACACAGGTTAGGCATGCTTCCCCACCAGGCTCTCAGGCCACCCGGAAAAGGACAGGGGCCAGCAGGGACCAGGAGCACCTTCTACCCCTTAGTGCCCACGAAGTCCCCAGGCTGAGCGCTGTCCTCGAAGCACATCAGGTCCCCCAACCAGCCTGTCCTGTGGACTAGAGCCCTCGGCCCAGGCTGGGGGTACAGGAGTCCCCTGTCACTGTCCACACCGCTCCCTTCCCTCGAGGACGCATGAGCAACACCCTCAAGGTTCCTCGGCACATCACTGCTGCAGTCGCCCAAGTGACGGGGCCTCCAAGGCCCACCAAGGCCCAGCGACCACCCTCAGCTGTCCCAGCATGCTCGGGACGCCACCCAGCCGGCCCTCAGGGCCTATCCTCTCCCATCGCCACCTGCAGCCCTGCCTGGCATGGCCACCCGAGCTCAGCCCCACCCAGAAATGCTGAGCACAGCTGGAGAAAACTATCCCGGCCGGCCCCTACCTCCCCAGCAAGGCTGACCTGGGCCCCCTCAAGATGGCGGCCCCCCAACTGGGTCCCACCTTCCCTACATCCAGAAAACACAGAAAGACGGCTCTCAAAGTCACGGATGCCAAACGGACGTGTGGCCCTGCCTTAGCACCAGCCCCCACGTCCTCTCTCCGGCCCCCGGCACATCGGGATGCCCAAGCCTGCCCATTCTGGGGCAGAGGCCCAGAAACCCACAGGGGCCCCTCCATCCCCCCTCCTCGCCTCTCTCACCCAGCAGCCTCCTTCCAGAACCCTCACTCTGCCTCCTCAGCAGTCCGCCCCCTCGTCAGCCCTGTGCACCGCCCCCCGCATCCTGGGAGCTCCGTCCCCGGCCCTCTTCATGCCCTGCAGGTCCTCTCCACTCAACCTCCAGCTGCCATGGCCATCTCTGTGTCTCCACCCCCACGGACCATTCTCCCAGGAACCACCTGCCTCTGGGTTACCTTTCTAGGAGGCTCACGGGCTCAAGCTCAGCATCCTCAGCACCAAACACTCACCACTCACCCATCCCCGGACTCCTCCTGCCCCTGCACGAGCCCCACAGAACCCAAGCACTGTAGCCCTGACCACTGCTCAGTGCAAGACCACTCCCCAGTCTCCACCACCTCTGCACCAGCCTCCCTGCTCCTGGCCTGGAAGTGACCCAGGAAATAACCACATGACAGTTCATCTTTAACAAAAATACTACAGTTCTTTCTCATACCAGAGCGCCCACACCCTCCTGGACAGATCTGCATTCATCCACCCGCCCACCCATCCATCCATCACCCACCCAGTATCCACCCACCTATCCACCCAGCCACCCGATATCCATCTCATCCACGCACCCACCTACCCATCCACTCTTCCACCCACCTACCCAGTCACTCATCCATCCCTCCACCCACCCATCCATCCCTCTACCCATCCATCCATCACCCACCCAATATCCACCTACCTACCCACCCAGCCACCTGATACCCATCTCATCCATCCATCCACCCACCCACCCATCCACACACCCAGCCATCCATCCACTTACCCATCCACCCCTCCATCCACCCACCCAGCCATTCTTCCATCCTTCCATCCACCCAGCCATCCTTCCACCCACCCATCCACCCCTCCATCCATCCAGCCAGCCACCCACCCATCCACCCAGCCATCCACCCAGCCATCCTTCCAGCCCTCCACCTACCCACCCATCCATCACCTACCCAATGTCCACCCATCTACCCACCCAGCCACCTGATATCCATCTCATCCACCCACCCATCCACCCCTCCATCCACCCACCCGCCCACCCCAGCCACCCCTCCATCGACCAGCCCTTGCTGAGCTCCTTCGGGAAGAGAGTCTCCAGCCCAGGCCCTGGCCTGGGGGTGCCCTTGGCCCCAAGGTGAGGGGCGCTCTGGCTCGAAGGCTCCCCCTGAGTTGGGCTCACCTGGCAATCTCAGCGATCTCTGCCGTCTGCACAATAAAGCCATAGGGGTCAGGATCTTCTTCCTCGTCATCTGTGTCCCGGGGGATGGGGGCCCGGGAGCGAGTCCGGTTGGAGCTGCCAGCCCGCGGGGTCTGCGTGGCTGTTGAGGCATGGGAGTGTGTGTGTGGGGGGGAGCCGTGGTGGGAGCCGTACTCTTCCTCGGATGTGGACGTGCAATCCGAGCCCTGCTGCCGGCGACGCGTGCCTTGGGTGCACGAGTTGTTTCCAGAAGCAAGAACAGAACAAAGCAGCGCTCAGCACCCTGTGGCAGCCCCGGGTCCTTCCAGACGAGCGCCCAGCGCTGCAGGACAAGCCGCTGCAGCTGCCCCCCCCACGCCCAGAGGCCTAGCAGCTGAAGCGCCAACAGGTACAGAGCTCCACGGCTGTGAGGCCACCACCAGCCCAGAGGCACGAGGAAGGACGGGCAGGGATGGGCAGGATCAGGGAAGGACAAGGACTGATGGGCAGGGATGAGCAGGGTCAGGGAACGATGGGGAGGGATGGGCAGAGTCAGGGAAGCATGGGCAGGGATAGGCAAGGTCAGGGAAGGACAAGGATGGATGGGCACGGATGGTGAGGGACGGGGAGGGACGGGCAGGGACGGGGAGGGACACACAAGGACGGGGAAGGACAGGCAGGGTTGCGGAAGGATGGGGAGGGACGGGCAGGGACGGGGACAGAAGGCGAGGGACAGGGAGGGACAGGCAGGGTCAGGGAGGGACGGCAGGGACGGGGAAGGACGGGGATGGACAGGCAGGGATGGGGAAGGACGGGGAGGGGCAGGGAGGGACGGGTAGAGTCAGGGAGGGACGGAGAGGGACGGGTAGGGATGGGTAGGGAGGGGCAGGGACTGGGAAGGACGGGGAAGAACAGGCAGGGTTGGGGAAGGATGGGGAGGGACAGGCAGGGATGGGGACAGAAGGCGAGGGACAGGGAGGGACAGGCAGGGTCGGGGAGGGATGGACAGGGTCGGGGAGGGAGGAGCAGGGTCGGGGATGGATGGGGATGGATGGGCAGGAACGGGCAGGGACAGGGACAGATGGAGACGGACAGGCAGGGTCAGGGAAAGACAGGGTTGGGGAAGGACAGACAGGGATGGGCAGGGTCAGATAGGGACGGGCAGGGTCACGGACGGGCAGGGACGGGGATGGACAGGCAGGGACAGGAATGGATGGGGACGGACGGGCAGGGTCAGGGAAAGACGGGCAGGGTCGGGGAGGGACGGGCAGGGTCAGGAAGGGAGGGGCAGGGTCAGGGAAGGACAAGCAGAGATGGGCAGGGTCGGAGAGAGACGGGCAGGGATGGGTTGGACAGGCAGGGTCAGGGAGGGACGGGCAGGGATGGGGAGGGATGGGCAGGGATGGGTTGGACGGGCAGGATCGGGGAGGGACGGGAGGCCTGGCATTTCCACGGGCCTGAGACTAGTCACCCCGTGGGCAGAGGCCACGTCCTGTGGGGAGAGTCTGTACCCATCAGATGGGAACCGCCAGGACTGGTGGCAGGGAATGGAACCCACGGATACCCCAAATCAGGGTAGACCTCCCCACGTGGATCAGCCGCAGGCCTGGGGGGGACCACAGAGGGTGGCTGGGCTCGGCCCTCACAGCCCCCTCCCTTGCCTGCCTGGTCTGGGACCCACTCCTCGGCCGCCCTGCTCTGAGGCCCCGGGCAGCAGCGCACGCGCGCGCACACACACACACACACACACACACACACACACACACACACGCCGCCAAAAAGAAGGGAGGGGCAGCGGGCTGGCACCCAGCCGTGGTCCCCAGCCCTCCACCCCTCTGTCCCGCTCCATCCCTTCCTCCAGCAAGTCGCCCCCCCCCCGGCACTCCTCACGCGGCCCGGAAGGCAGGGAGGGGCCGCGTCTGCAACCTCAGCAGGGCACGCCCAGCACCCTCCAGCCACCCCGGGCAGGAGACAAGCACCAGCGACCACAGCACCATCCCTCTGCACCCTGCCCGGGGCTGCGTGGGAGACTGACATGGCCTCCCCCAGCACCCAGCCCCCCAGGGCACGGCGCCAGGGCAGAGTGGGCAGCCCCAGCCTGCTGTCCACAGCCACACAGGCCCCCACCCGCGAGGCAGCAGGAGCCCCTCCCTCCGGGCTCGCTGGAGGATGCGGACCCGCGCGCGCTCAAGGAACCCGAGAGTGCACGTGCAGACGGGCCTGCCCGGGAACGGGGGCTCCTCTAGGGCCAGAGTCGGGGGCCCCGCGGCCGTGCGGGGGGCCGACCCAGAACACTGCGGACCCACAGCCCTGGCTGACGCGGCACTCACTGGGTGAGGAGTATCGGGCACTGCCCGGGCGGGCCCTGCTAAAGGGCTGGCGGGGGGCCGTGGAGGTGTTGGCAGCCTTCCTGGCGGCGGCGGCCCGAGCCTCGGCCACGACGGGTTTACGGCCAGAGCAGTACAAGTCGACGCTGCGGCCAGAGAAGCCGGCGCGGGCGGGGGCCGCCTCGGAGTCGCTGGGCCCGGTGAAGGAGCCCGCCCGCTTCCGGGGCATGGCCAGGATGTCCAAGCGCGACAGCTTCTTGGCCTGCTCGGGGTTGGCCGGGGGCCCCCGTTCGCCATCGGCAGCCTCCGTGTCCGAGGCATCCCCCAGCCGGGCCCGCCTCAGCCGGGAGGCCCGTGTGGGCCGAGGGGTGGACAGGCTGTTGGAGCGGGTCAGCACCTGCTGCACCTTCTGGGCGGAGCCACGGCCCTGCTCTTCCCGTGGAGCCGGGGACGGCGCTGCAGGTGCCGGTTTCCGGCGAGGCCCTGGCCGCCCCGCCCCAGGGGCCACGGGGGTCTCGTGGTCAGAGGTGACCGTGTCTGCGCCGGGCGGGTGGGCCAGGCCGGAGCCTCGCTCTTCGTCAGGCCAGCCCGCGGATGCCCGGGCCCCGGTGCCACATCGCACAGCCAGGCGCCTCCCCAGCTCTGCACGGCCCACGTCCGTGGGGCCCGGAGCGCGACGATGCTTGTCCGAGAGCCGCTCGCGGGCGCTGTTCGAGGAGACGCTCCCCGGGTCCTGTGCTGCTGGTGGGCACGGTGGCTTCTCCTTCTGCGGCCCCGCGGGCTGGGGACTGGTTGGGCTGGGCCCGTTCTTACCACTGAGCAGGCTGACTGTGCTCCCCGTGTCCACGTCAGAGTCCCCGGACAGGGAGTCGTCTGGCGGCCTGGGGCTGCTGCCCATCGGGCCCTCTGCCTCCTCCGTGGACTTGGAGAGCAGCCGGGCCTCCAGGGCTGCCAGGGCTGTCTCTGTCTCCTTCAGGATCAGGTGGGTGTCCTGGGGGTGCAGGTCCATGCGTGAGGCCCGGGCAGCAGCCAGGTCCTGCAGGAGGGGGTGGCTGGAGATGCGCGGAAGCTGGCCAGGCGCTGGGGGGCCACCAGCCGGCTCCTTGCTGAAGCTATCCTGTCGCACCAAGGCCGGGGCAGGGCTCTCGGGCTCTGGGGACCGCTCTGTCCGCAGCTGGATAACCATCCTCCCGCTGGAGCTGACGGAGACGCCATCCCTCGCCACCCGCCCTGGGCCGTCCACCTCCCCTACAGCCGCTGATGGCTTCCTGGGGAAGGCTGTCTCCGCGTTCTGGTCCCCAATGAAGAAAGAGGCGGGGGCTGGCTCTCCAGGGGCCCTTGGCGAGCGCCGGCCCTTCGTCCATGCTGGTCCCTCCTGGGGGCTCCTGCGTCTCTCCTCCTGCGGGCCCCCACCCAGCTCGGAGCCCCGCCCACCGTCCGACCCACTGGCATCACTGAGGCTGTCAGGCTCCAAGTCCTCCTGGCCCAAGAGGCAGCCGGCCTGCTCACTGCCCGGCTCCGGAGGCCCAGGGCCGCTCCTCTTGGTGGCCTCGAGGCCCCCAGGGCTGTCTGCGCGGTCGCTGGGCAGCTGTGGGAGTCGCCGTCGCTGGCGCACAGGCAGGGTCCCCTCCAGCTCCCCCGCTCTGTGCCCAGGGCTCTCCCCTGCAGAGACAAGGGCGGCCTGGTTGCAGCAGCCACCGGGTCTGCAGGCCCTCGGTGCGCGCCGGAAGCCTGACCCTCCTCCGGACTTGGCTGGCACGCACTCACGCCCGCGTGTCCGGTGGAAAGCCTGGGCCCACCCCCTCCCTGTGGCTGAGCCTGAACCACTCACCTGCCAGGCCTGGGTCTGAGTAGCTGTCGGCCAGGCTGGCCCAGCGGGACACCCATTTCTGACCCCCAGGGGAGCCCGGCACCGGGAGGCCCTGCGGAGCAAAGGACAAGCGTGTGTCTGCAGCAGGGAGCGGGAGGAACCCCATGGAGACCCTCACCCGTGGGGACAGCTCACTCTAACCCCTGGCCCCAAACACGCCATCTCTGGACCTGTAGCACAGCCCCCTCCCCCCCACCCAAGAAACAGCCAGGAAACCCCCCGCTGCACTCCTGAGCTTACAGAACCCCAATGTTAACTACCTAACCTGAGCCCGGGTCGGGGGCCTAGAGGCCAGCAGCGGTGGCTCGGCCCAGCCCTGCCTGTGGGCACACACCCAGGGGCCCCACTTGACTTGGGACCCGTCCTCGAGCCCTCCATACAGGGCCCCGGCCCACCTGCCAGGAGGTGGGCACGCCCCTCAGGGAAGGTTCAACCCAGCCTTGTATGAGGCACCCAGCGCAGGCGAGACCATAACCTTCGAGCTCATACAGGACCCGATGATGGGGTCCCAGCACTCCCCAGGGCAGCGTGCCTCCCACTTACTTGGAGCTCCCCTTGGGGGGCTATGCCCACCGACCGGGAGGCAAACTCCTGCAGGAGCGCCATTCGCTGGGCGACCCCGTCACTGGCCTCATCTCTGTCCCCTCTGATGACCGGACGGAAGGTGGCCGAGGATACCCTGGAGAGCTCAGGAGACTCAAGTACCCCAAAGACCTGGAAGGAGGGATGGCCAGGCCCCCGGGTCAGAGCCACGCCAACCGCGGCCAGGCCCCCAGCCCCCTGCCCTGCAGACCTGGTCGATCATCTGGCGGGCCTCCTCCACCTCCGGGTCCTGCCCCTCTGTCTCGATGGTGTAGGTCCCCGCATCGCTCAGGCTGTCGTCCTCATCCTGTTTGCGAGCCTTGCTCAGCTGGGGGTCGGCAGGGGGCGGTGGTGGGGTCGCAGGGGCCACGGGGCTGGCCCCACGGGGTGTCTCGGGGGCCGGTGACGCTGGGGATGCCTTGTCAGGGCCCGGCCGGGTGGCCGGGGAGCCCTCCCGCGGGCACTGGGCCATGAAGTCCTGGGCCAGACGGGAGCGGCGCCCCACGCTGCCAAAGGGTCGCACAGAGCCCCGGGAGGTGGGCGAGGGGCCCCCCGGGCGCTCCTCTGTCCTCTCCCGCTTGAGTGAGCTGGCCCGCTGCGGCCCCGAGCTGCCGCCTGCCCCCCGCGCCGAAGCAGGGACGCCTGAGCGGTCTCTGTCCGCCGGCCCGGGGCCTCGGCGCTTGTCGGCCTTGGGGTCCCCCGGAGGGGTGTGCGTGAAGGACTGGGAGCGCTTCTTGCGGGGCGTGTCCTGGTCGAAGAACTCGATGACAAAGGCCTGCTGGCTATGCAGCAGCTCCTGGGGGTCCCGCTTCATCTGTCTGTGCAGACGCACCTGCGTCCCGCTGCCCTCCGCGGGGACCCCGGCCGTCGCCACCGCTGCCTTGGCCGCGGGGTCCTCCGAGTCGCTCTGCGTGCCGTCCTCATGCTTGTGGCCTGGGGGTGGGGGACCCCGATGCATCAGGCCAGGGGAAAGGACGCAGCGCCCTGGGGGAGGGGAGCCCCTTCACCCCCTGCCCAGGCGGCGCCACGAGGCCGGGGACGTGGCACCCACAGCGCACGGCCCCCCGCACACGCAGCCGAGATGAGCACGGGGAACACCGGGAACACGCCCAACTGGCCCAGCCAGGGAGGCAGGTCCCTGGCAATCAATCGAGCTGCTGGGGCCCCACTGGAGGCGCAGGCGCTGTGGTGCGCTCACGGCCCGCCCGGCACTCACCCTTCAGGGTGCGGGTGTGGACGGGCAGGTCGCTCTTGGTGCTGTGGTGGCCATCCCCAGGGCCCGCCCGGCACAGCAGGCTCGGGTCGCTCCGCACCAGCCAGTCGGCCACCTTGGTCTCAGCAGACACGGCCTCCACAGGCGTGGCCTCCTGGTCTGGGGGCCGCCTCTGGCGCAGCGAGAACTTGGTGACGTGGTCCTTGATCTTCACCTTGCCGGGGCTGCAGTTGTCGAACTCGATGGTGAAGGAGGCGTGGCTCTGCACCATGGGGGCCGTGGCGGGTGCCTCGTGGGCCGGCGGCGGCGGCGGGGCCTCCTTCGTGGGGATCTCAAAGTAACTGGGCTCCCGCCTGAACGGGCAGCCCTGAGGCTCCGCCGCCGCCCGGAGGCCAGGCGTCCCTGGGAGCTCCCCGTCCGGCTGGGCCGGCTCCTTGGGCCGCTCTGGGTGGGAGGGGGGAGAAAACGTGTCCTCGGGGGCTGCAGGGTGCCGACCCCGGCCCACCCACCTCTGCCAGCACAGTCCGCTGTCTCCCCGGAACCGGCATTTCCAGCCCGGGGCCTCCGGGACCCACCTGCGTAGGGCTCCTCCTGGCGCCGGTCCTCGGGGGGGCTGCTGCTGTCGTCCTCGCCCCACCAGGAGGGCTGCCCATACAGGGGTGTGCGGTAGGCCGCCGTCTCTGCACGAGGAGAGGGAGTTCCACCCTGGGTCGCTGGGGCCCAGCACAGACGAGGAGGGGAGACCCAGGGCTGGGAAGGCGCCGGCTTCCGGAGGGGTCCTGGTGTCACGTCCCACCTCAGCCCGGGACCCTGCCCGAAGTGCTCCAACTTCACCACTCTAGGCCCATTTCCACATCTACGGTGGGTGACGCTCGCTGCCCCCAACCCGCCCAGGCCTCCCTGTGCAGGAGGCTCTCCCGGGGCCGCACGGTCCTCAGCGCCCCCACCCTGGGGCAGGCAACCCCTCCAGCCCTGGCTGAGCCCTCTGCCCCTGGAGCCTGCCTGCCACGAGGGCAGCAGGACAGGAGTCCACGGCCAGGGCAGGTCTCTCTCCAAGGTCTGCAAGTGGCTCGGGCCACAGAGGGGCGACCCTGACGGCCGGGCCCCACCACAGGCTGACCGGACCACACGGGGAGCAGGGGGGCAGCGCGCACGGGTGGGCATGTCTCGGGCTGTGCAGCTGTGGGGCGCCCGGATGCCTGAGCCCACAGGAGGGCAGGTCTGTGCTGTGAGCCCAGAGGTTGAGAGGCAGGGCGAGGGCCGTGCTGGGAGGGGAGCGCGACCCAGAGCAGGCAGATCAAGGGGAGCCACGGGGGAGGCCAGGGGGGGTGGGGCAGGCCTGTGTGCACACCCCTCCTGGGCCCCGCTGCAACACTGCCCTTACCTGCCCCTGGCCTCCGGTCCCCCCTCTCCGGCCTGGGACCCAAGGACTCGCAGTAAGGGGTGTGCTGGGGCAGCGCTTCGCCCTTCCTGGGGGCCGGGCCCTTGACGCTCACCTGCAGCTGGCTGGTATACTTCTCGTGCTGCGGGCAGGGGGGCCGGGGGTGAGGGCGGGGTCGGCCCCAGGAGGACACCCAGGGCAGCCCGCTCCCTCTTGGTCCGGAGAGGGCCAGGACTGGCCCCGCACACCATGAGGCCTCCCTCACAACACCCACGGAGGAGACATCCTGAGGCTTGAGGCTGGGGGTCCTCGCCCAAGCCTGGGGGGGGCGGTTCTCAGGACCACACAGCTTCCAGGAAGGAGCTGGGGTTTGCTTGGGGCAGGCAGCAGTCATCAGAGGTCACACGCAACCCCCCCGCCTCAGGACCCACCAGAGAAGGGTGGGACAGGCCCTGGGCCACGGGGGCAGCGGCTCGGGCCACGGGAGGTGGGGAACAGTGGTCTGTCCGAGCACACCATGGGCGTGCACGCTTGTGTGCATGCACCCATGTACGGATGCGTGTGAGTGTGTTTGTGCGTGCAGGGGCCCCCCCTGGCTGAGCTCTGCAGCTGTCAGACCCAGGCTCACACTGCCCGTGTGACTCTGGGCAGGCTGCCCACACCCCGCTTGAAAGACGGCGCTAAGGCTAGTCGCCCCCACAAGCGGCTCCCGGGTGAAGCTCTGGGCAGGGTCCCCCAGGTCGATGCTCCATGACTCCCACACAAACGAGCAGGGGAGAGGAGACGTCCCACCCACCGTGGCCCCTGACCCAGGTCCCTCCTGCCCGTTCCCAGCTACCCCCTGTGATAGCCTGATTAGGGTCCTCCTTGGCACCCCAAATGCCTCTGGGCCTCCCCTCCCGCAGCTGGGCACAGCAGCCTTCCCCTTCAGCCACCACCTGCAGCCGCATCCGCCTGGGGAAACGACTATCTTCCCCACCTGCCAGACCGGGCCGGCCTGCAGCACAGGCCAGGCCAGGCGCCACAGCCAGGCCAAGGGAGCCAGGAGGCGTGGGAGTGCTGGGCAGGAGGAGGGGTGCGGGGACGGCGGGGCCGCTTGGCCGCGTGCTGGCACTGACCCTGAGCGCTTCCTCGGGGACCTGGTGCTGCACGCGCTCCAGGACGTACATGTTGGGATGTGGCCGCAAGTTAAGGCGAACCCAGAGCAGAAGAGCCAGGATGGCCTTTGGGCAAGGGCACGGGGCCACGTGGAACAGGCATTCTCCAGAGCGAGAGGAGCAGACAGCTCCTGGGCAAGTCAGACTGACAGCCATGGAGGCTGGGCCGCCCCCACACCCGCCTGTGCTCCAGGCCCGTGTCCACGCTGCTCCAGATCACGGCACACACATGCCCTTTAACCCCTCAGCCGAAGCGCGGGCAGGGCGGGCAGGTGATGTGCCCAGGAGCCTGCCATGCACCCCAGACCTCCCCTCGGCACCGGCCTCCCAAGGATCTGGGGTCGGGAGGGCCTCAGACAGCGGCTGGGTCCACACCCACAAGCGGCTGTGCCAACACGAGACCTGGCTGAGGCGGGCAGAGAGGAGAGGACGAGCTCCTGCCACGTGTATGGGTCCCCAGGGCAACCAGGCTGCTCGGGGCGGAGGCACAGCCCCCGCTCCTGCATGCTCGAGCACAGAACACCACGCCTGGGCGGCCTCCAGGCCACCAGGGACCCTGGGTCCCAGGGAGGGCTCACTCGCTCCTGGGACCCTGTGTGAGCTCAGACTGGGAGACGGGAAGCAGGTGCCCGTGACCAGGGCCTCTGTCGGGGGCACAGGGGCCGGGGTTCGGGCTGGAGCCCAGCCCGGGGTCATGCTGGCTACTCTGTGACGCCCATGGGCCCCAGCTGTGCCCATGGAGGCCCCTACGACTGCCAGGACAACAGGACGACTGAGGCCAGAGGGAGGGAGCACGGCCAGGAAAGGATATCGTAGCCGAATCGGATGACGTCATGGAGCTTCAGCGTGACGTACTTCTGGTCCGGGATGCGCACGTCATTCACGAAGGTCTGCGGAGGAAACAGGTGGCGGGGCCCGGCCAGCAGCAGGTGGGGCAGCGACTCTGCGGTGCCCTCCTTCATGCTGCTCTGGGCCAGCCACTGTCCCTCGGACACACGTGCACCCAGCCTCACCCCTGCAGGGACCATGGGACAGGTGACCGCCGAAGGCCTGGCCTCGTCCAGCACCCGGGACCCTGAAGTGGCAGCGGCCAAGGCACACCCGTGGGGTGGCCCCATGGCAAGGCTGGCCGGGCTGTGCGAGGCTGCCTGCTCCCCGGAAACCTCCTCCCTCCCCCAGGGGCTCTCGCTGGCTGGTTACTGGACACTGCACTCTGGCCAGATCAGGGAGAGAGCCCCACGCGCTCTGAGGGCCTTGGGGCAGGCCAGGCGACAGGAAAGACAGAGGGGCTCAGGCGCGGCAAATATGCCAGAGTCTGGTGGAAGGCACGAGAACCAGGGAGGACTGGTTTCAGGACAGAGGGGGGTCTCGGGGGCGGAGCAGGAGGGTGGGTCCACAGGGAGGGGTCCCAGGCCAGGGCTGGGTGGTGCAGAGACGGGGCAGCAGAGCAGGCCTGAGAGGGCTGGAACCCCGGCAAGCGCAGTCTGCACACGCTGCCGGCGATGCGGGAGTCCGTGAGCTCCTGCAAGCAGTGGAGGGCAGCAGGCCCGGCGTGGGGGCAGCCTGTCATCCCGTGCCCGTGGCTCGGTGCTGCACAGGCAGGCGAGACTTGGCCCCAACTCTGCAGACGTCACTCAGGCCTCTGAGAAGCACACACCAGGCCCATAGCCCCGGGGACCCTCTCAGAGCCCAGGCGGTCTGGGGGGCCAGTGCCCCGTGCAGCCCAGGTTGGCGGAGGGGATGCTCACTCTCCTTGCAGCCCCATTCAGGTAGGGCGACTCTGTCTGACAGGAGGGCCAACAGAAGAGGGCTTCAGGGGCAGACCCCAGCAGAGCCTGAGACCCCCCCCACCCGGGAGCCCCGCATGGGAAGTGGTGAGGAGTGCCCAGCACTCGGCAGCCTGAGGCTGCTGTGGGACCTCCCAGCTCAGGATGGAGAGCAGACCTCACGAGCTGGGGGGGACAGGGCGGAAGGCCCTCCTCGGGCAGAAGGAAACCACACACCCACACAGCCAGACACCGGACCCTGGAGGGACCCCTCACCTGACCCCCTCCCTGCTCACAAAGGAGGTCACACATCCCCCAGGACATGGTATCCCAGCAGACAGCCTCATTTCTCAGCCTGCAGGAGGCCCAATGTCTCCCACCCTCCCTAGGGCCCTCTCCCCCAGAACAGCCCTGCCCCACAGGGAGCCTCCCAAGGAGGCCATGGGGCCACTGCACCTGAAGGTGGCTTCCTCCCCACCTGAGCAGCAGATCCTGGAGGAGCTCAGGCGGGGACGGAGCAGAGGGATGTGGTCACGGAGGGGAAGGGGACCACAGCAGGTGGGCAGAGCTGGAGTGGGGCCCGGGAAGGGGACGGGGCCAACATAGAGAGTAGATCACGAAGAGGAGTGGGGTCAAGGCGGAGGAATAGGCCATGATAAGGGGCAGGGTGCAGAAGGAGCTGGGGTGGGGAAGACAGGTGGGGCTACTCTGGGGGGCGGGGTGTCATGAAGAGGGGTGTGACCATCACAAAAGGAGGCGGGGCCAGCAGACAGACAAAGGCCACGAAGGGGGCGGGGCCAGCAGAGGGCTGGGTCGTGGCAGGGGCGGGGTCATGAAGGGGTGGGGCTAGCCGAGGGGCGGGGTCACGACGGAGGCGGGGCCAGCACAGAGCACCCCTTGCCGCTTGCACTCACCCCGTTCAGGCTTCCCAGGTCCTTCACCCAGTGCTCATCCCTGTCCTGATCGTAGTTGATGACAGCATGCTGCTTGTCCACGCTGCGGGACTGGGGACACACAGACTGCCCTCAGGGGGCCTTCCCTGCTAGGTGAGGCCCAGGAGGCAGAGGAAATCCCAGCAAGAACCCCATCCTCTACCCCACCGCACTGCCAACACCAGCCAGCTGGGCCTGGGAGCCCACAAGGTCCAGCCCACGCCCCCACACCTTGGGTGTGTGTGTCCCAGAGAGCCCACCCAGGCTTGACTCGGCCAGCTGTCCCAACCACTGGAACAGGCCACGGGGATTTGCTGAGATGCCAAGGCCAGGTCCGCCCACCCCACTGCTGCCACCCGGGCCCCTCCTTTTCTGTCCAGCCTCTGCAGCACCAACAGGCCAGTGCCCCCCCATCCCTGGGTCAGCCGTGGGAAGAGGGGGAACCTCTGGTCATCTGGGACATGCTGCTCACCCCCAAGGCCAGGTGGGGGCAGGCAGAGCCACAGGGAGGACCGCAGGGCTGGGGGGGTTCAGGGACAGGCCTTCCCCCCCACTCCTGGGCAGCGCCACAGGGGCGCAGCCTCTCCCCGGGCTGCTCACGCACGTGCAGGATGAATCTCAGACCCCACAGCTATGTGCCCGCGGGCACAGAGCTCACACGCCTCCTACGCATACCCTGCCACACACGGGCATGCTGAGCACTGCCAACCTGTCCCCGGCCCCCGACCCTCTCAAGACCCCTCCCCAGGCCGGTCACCCAGCCCCCTCACACAGTCAGCCGGAAGAACACAGACCAGTCAGCACACCTCTCCACTGCTAGGGCTCGTGGTGCAGGGGCCGGGATAGGGTCATGGGGTCACACGCTCTTCGCGGAGGCCAGCACAGGCCGCCTCCCCAGCCACGAGGCCAGCGGTCTCGGCACAGAGAGTACCAGCGCCCACCCCACACCCACTCAGCCGGACGCCCGGGGCGTCTGGGTGGCCCCTGCATCCCTCTCTGGCCACCTAAGGAGACACACGCCTGGGGACCAGCCCCTGGACAGGCCAGGAGAACCAGCCAATCTAGACGTCCAGACCTGCTAGGATGACAGCGTGGGACCCCGTGGACCTGCCAGACAGTGCCTCCACAAGACACCCAGACCTACCGCAGAGCACCTGCGTGGGAACGACAGGGCTGCGCACCTGCTCTCCGCGGCCCGCCATAGGATGGCCCCTAGCCCATGAGGTGGTGGCCCAGGACCTGAATCCCTGTGTCACCATACTACCAGGTTTCTCCGTTCCCACAGGTGAGTGCCCAGACCCTTCCTCCCCGAGGCGGCTGCCCACTTTTTCCCTGGCTTCCAGCGGCGGCCCCAGAACCTTCCCAAGGACTAGAAGCCCCTGCCCCACCCAGAGGCCCAAGGACACAGCAAGGTGGGGGTGGGGGTGGGCTCTGGTCCCTCAGCTTGGCAGATGTGCCAAGAGCCCTGGAAGGCGGATGGTCGGGGGCAGGCTCGTAGGGGCTGTGCCCTCAGCCCCAGCAGCAGCCTGCATGCTCCAGCCCTGCCCGCACTCAGAGGCCCCAGGCAGCCAGCTGGACCCCCAAGGATGCCGCCGCAGTGGGGAACCTGGGGGGAGTGGCATGAGGAGGGAATGGGCCTTCAGTCCTCTGGGAGGGAACAGGGGTGCAGGGGCGAGATCATAGAGCAGTCAGCGGTGCCAGCAGGAGCCTCCCGAACACAGAGGCCACCCCTGGGCCATCTGCCCCAGGCTGCTCGAGGGACACGGGTCAGCACTGCAGCCTGCCGTTGGCATCTGTCCTGAGGAGCCCCCAGGACAGCCTGGGGGGGCTCCCGGTGCCAACGCATCTCCCACAGCGACAGCCTCCGACCAGGTGAGTCTAAGCTCAAGACCTACTGCCTCTCCCCCCAGGCCTCACCTCTGCCCCCACCCTGAATTCCTCACCCAGAGTTGGCACCCACGGCCAGACAGCTCCGGCCACAGCCTCTTCCCTGGGTGCCAGGCACCCCATCCTCCATCAGACGCCCCTCCCTGTCCCGGATGCAGGCTGGCCCAGCGCTCACCTACCCCCAAAGCCGGCCCTGCACTGCAGCCCCCCACTGGCCCTGGCCTGGGCCTCCCCGACCCGGCACAGGCGAGGGACCCTGGCACACCCTTACCTGGGCCTCAGTCTCCCAGCTGCAGTGGGGCTGACAAGAACCAGCAGCTCTCTGGGGGAGCATGAGTGCTCAGGCTCATCACACCCCGGCCAGTGAACCGCCCCATGGGCAGCCTCGTGTCCAGCTGGCAGCTGAGAAAACAGTACTTGCAGAGGAGTCTGGGGGCTCACCTCCTCCTGCGCCCTTTCCCAAGCAGCGCCCAGGGCTCGAGATCAGGCCAGCTGCCCATCTCAGCCCTGCTGGACACCGTGGGTGCCAAAGAGCCCCCCGTCTCTGGAAAGTGAGCCTGGGGTGGGCTGTGGCCGTTGTGCCACCAGGTATCACACCACAGGGGTGCTGCTGGCCTGGGAAGGGCACTGGGCAGGGGTATACCACAGGGCTCTGGCCAGCCCCACCAGCACACAGCGCGATACGGGCCAGCCAGAGGCGGACAGGGGTAGGCAGCAGCAAGGGCACGCTGTCCGTCAGGCTCAGACCCCACCTCTGCCAAGGAGTAACCCCCTAGAGAGGCTTCTGGGCTGACCTCCCAGCCTGAACAACTCCCTCCCCCCACCCCAGGCCTCAGACCCCCAAGTCCCGGACTTAGCCCAGCCAGGCCAAACCGGACTCCTCCCTCCCTGCCCACCCGGCCCTACAGCCTTCCCCCAGGAGGGCCAGCAGCGGAGGTTCCAACTGCACCCCCTTGCCCCCAGGCACCCACTGGCCTTCCCCGTCAACCTATCCCCTGCAGCCATCTTTCTCCCATCCTCCCAGCCCCCGTCAGTCATGCCCATCACTCTTTTGCAGAAACTTCCTGAGGCTCCTGGCCAGCCTGAGAGGAAAGGCTAGCCTTGTCCCACGAGCCACGGGTCACAGAGGCCTCTCCAAACCTTCCTGCCCTGCCCTGGCCTGGCCAGCCCTCTGGCCAGACCGCTCTGTGGGTTCTGGAGATGCCATGCCCCTTCTTGGACCTGGGTCCTTCGCCAAGGACCACCACCCTCCCTGTGTCCACCTTCCCTGACCCACCCCCACCCACCCCACCAATCTTCTGGTCCTTGGACCTTGCACAGTGCCCCCCCACTTGCCCCTAGAGCCTGGGCCGCCCCCTCCAGTCCCCAGGCCCAGCCTCCACTCCCGGCCAGGGCCCTAGCACCAGGCACAGCTCCTGCAAAACCCCCTTCCCAGACTGCGGGTAGCACCAGGACTGATGGGGAGCAGGCGGAGAAGGGCTCCAGGACCAGAAACCTCCCTCCCAGCCCTGACACCCCAAGCCAGAAGCAGACCCCAGTTCCACCAGGCCCAGGAGCTCAGGGGCCGGACACCCACCCAGGGAAGATGGAGGCAGCCCTTTAGCCCTGGATTTGAGACTTCACAGGACACAAAGCAGCTGTGTCCTGCACGAAGGGAGAGATTGTGGAACAGGCGAATAAAATGACCCTAACAAACCCAAACATATAGATATTTGAAAAAGAATCCAATTATACTCACTTTAAAAGGAACAAAGAAGTGCTTCCAAACTTTACGTGACTCCCTCCATGGAGAAAGCCCTGCCCAGGTCAGCCTGATCCCGGCAGTGGCCAAAACTCAGGGCTCTGGGCACACCCTCCCACCAGTCCGCACCCGGCATCACCCACGTCCACCGCAGATGGGCTCAGCTGGCTCGCGCAGAGGGCTCCAGGCTCAGGGCTGTGGTCTCCGCGTGAGGATGCGAGCAGACAGACCCCGGCTGCTACTCCCACAGGTCAAACCAGGCAGAAGCGGGGAAGACACCTGGGCACAAGCACAGAGGCATGCACGTGCACATACACACGTGCAGACACACCCCACACACGTGTGCACAGACACGCCCCCACACGCGTGCAGACACACCCACACACGTGTGCACAGACACGCCCCCACACGCGTGCACAGACGCCCCACATGCGTGCACACACACCACACACGCGTGCACAGGGACACGCCCACACACACATGCAAGGCACACGCCCCCACACGCATGCACAGACACGCCCCCACACGCGTGCACAGACATGCCCCACATGCATGCACACACACCGCACACACGTGCACAGGGACACGCCCCCACACACGCGTGCACAGACACGCCCCCCACACATGCACAGGGACACACCCCACACACGTGTGCACAGGCACACACCCCACACACGCCCCCACACACGCGTGCACGGGGGACACGCCCCCATACACACATGCAAGACACACGCTCCCACACACCAGGGACACGCCCCCACACACGCGTGCACAGACACGCCCCCACACGCGTGCAGACACACCCACACACATGTGCACAGACACGCCCCCACACGCATGCACAGACATGCCCCACATGCGTGCACACACACCACACACGCGTGCACAGGGACACACCCACACACACATGCAAGGCACACGCCCCCACACGCGTGCACAGGGACACGCCCACACACACATGCAAGGCACACGCCCCCACACGCGTGCACAGGGACACGCCCACACACACATGCAAGGCACACGCCCCCACATGCGTGCACAGACACGCCCCCACATGCTTGCACACACACCACACACACGTGCACAGGGACACGCCCCCCACACACGTGCAGACGCCCCCCCACACACATGCACAGGGACACGCCCCCACACGTGTGCACAGACACGCCCACACACGCATGCACAGGGACACGCCCCCACACACACATGCACAGGGACACGCCCCCACACGTGTGCACAGACACGCCCACACACGCATGCACAGGGACACGCCCCCACACACACGCACAGACACGCCCACACATGCATGCACAGGGACACGCCCCACACACGTGTGCACAGGCACACACCCCACACACGCGTGCACAGGGACACGCCCCCACACACACATGCAAGGCACACGCTCCCACACACATGCACAGGGACACGCCCACACACGCGTGCACGGACACGCCCCCACACACGTGTGCACAGACACGCCCACACACGCATGCACAGGGACACGCCCCCACACACGCCCGCGTGCAGAGGCACACGCTCCCACACACGTGCACAGGGACACGCCCTGCACCAGAGCAAGAGCCACAGCCGGTGGCCCGCATCCACGCTCACGCCAGCGGGCACCAGCTCTGTGCCACACTTGGAGAGTGTGGGGCGGCGCATGGCCAGGATGGCCGGCTCTGCCTCACGCACGCCCCCCACCTTCCACTGGCCCCCGAGGTCCAACAAGCCACAGCCCCTCCCGCCTCATTTGCGGCCCAGGCCCCCGGACAGCCCCCTGCTCCCCAGCCTCCCTGCACTGCCTCCTCCCTGTGCCCTGTGTGGAGGCCGCACCCCGCCTGGCACGTGCCCCTCCCCCTCCTGAGTGTCCAGTCGGGCCCACGGCCCCCCATCCCGTTCCCGTGCCACCTCCTGCGGGCTTCTGCCCTGGGGACTCCTCTGGTCCCTGCTTACTTGGGTGTGGCCGGCCCCACCCCGGAGCAGTGACCCCAGGAGTCAGGGTCTCTGCAGGGCCCTCCAGGCGCTGGGAGAGTGCAGTGCTCCGTCATAACGTGGAGTGACAACACGGGGACGAGGACACAGACCCCACAGAGGGGAGGCCCGGGCCTCCAGGAGGACGAGGCAGGGAGGGGGTGAGCTGGCAGAGAAGGATGAGCGGGGCCGGGGGGGGCCCCTGAGCAGAGGGGCCGGGGCAGGGCAGCTGTAGGGCGAGGCCGGGATCCACCAGTGTGCCTGTCCCTGAGCCCGGGCGCGGTGGCAGCGCCACCTGTGGATGCCCAAAGCACAAGTAAGGGAGAGGGAAGGTCAGGGTGTGTCCCTGGACCACTGGCGGGGACACTGGCGGGAGCCCTGCTGGAGGACACGGAGGATGGTGATTTTGCACGGAGCTGGGCTGCCTGGGTGAGGCCCACACAGGCTATGACTGCAGGGGCTAGAGGCTGGGGAAGGAGAGGCAAGGACACTATGGGAATCACCTGAGCAGATGGGGACACCAAGGCACGGGTGTGAGGGCACCTCCAGGAGACCCACCCAGGAGCTCAGGGCCCAGGCAGAAAGGGAGGCTGCGGGGGTGGACTGCATGCATGACCTCCTGGAGCCTCAGTTTCCCCAGGTGCCGGAGGACAGCAAGGTGCACCCGAGCCTGGGGCTGGACCTGCATGAAGGGCTGAGAAGTGCCCGCTGCTCCTGCCCGGCTCAAGGCTCCCCCACCAACGAACCAGAACTGGAACTGGACCGAAGCTCACTTGAGCACCCTGATCCCCACCTCCGGTCCCAGAAGCTTCTGCACCAATCCCTGGGAAAAGCAGCAAGCAGAGTGAGGGCCTGGTGCAGGGGACAGCCAGGCAGTGGGCAGGGAAAACACCCACGCCGGGCCCTGATCTCCAAGAGGCCCTCCTGGCCACCCCAGGTAGACCAGCAAAGCCATCAACACACTACCCAGGCGCACGGCACCTTGCCAGGGTCAGGGACCCAGCACGTTTTCAGACCCGCCTCCAGCGACAGAGAACAGGGGTCACGTTCCGCGTCACCGTCAGGAGCCGCCAGCCACATCCAGACCTCGGCGGGGCCGCTCAAGACACCAGGGGTGCGACCGAGCCTGCGCCTGCTTTGTGCGCACCGCGAGCTCGGAGCGCGCTTTCTACCTGTAAATGGTTTTTAATAAGCCGAGGCTATGTCGTGACACGTGAGAACGACAGGAGACTGACATTTCGAGGCCACGAGGAAGACCCCCTGGTGCCAGCATGCCGGCTGCTCCGCGGCCCGGAGGTGTGCGGCCCGAGAGGCCTCAGAGACGTGCCCCGGTCTTTACGGAAGACATCTGCCCACCCCATACAGTCACTGACTCAGTCTCCCCAGCTTCCAAAGGCGTGATGAGAAATAAGAGGACAGACTGTTCCAGATTAAAGACACTCCGGAGGCCCAGCAACCAGACCTGACGCAGGAACTTGGCCAGTCTAGCCAAGCAAGTCCCTCGAGGACCTTCGGGGAGAAGCCAGGGTGTCCAGACAGGGATGGGCTTGCCCTCAGGAGACGGAGGCGGACGTCTGCTGCCCAAGCCCCAGGTGTCCCGGGGAGTTGCGACAGCAGCCAGGCTCACGCAAGGGAGCCAGGGCCTGAGCCAGGCCTCACCCTGCACCCGAGCGGCCCACCCAGGACACCGTAGTCGGGGGCATGAGCTTGGGGGGCTCGGGGGAGAGTGGCCCATGTGCCACGGGGGCGGGGGGCAGGGCTGCAGGAAGCCCAACTCAATCACACCCATGAGGCGCAGGGAAAAGGACACCTGAACCCTCCTTGTTCCCAAATAGCCAGATACGTGAGCCCCACGGAAGCCAAACCCACACTCTGAAACCCAGGGCCTGAAAGTCCTGACGGTCAAGAGCACGGTGCCCTGGCCCCACCAGCCTTTTCTGCCCAAGAAAGGCCCCTTCCCCACCCCAGGGTGCCTCAAAGGGGCACCAGTCTTCCCCTGGACAGCTCTGATGGCCCCAGATGGCCCTGGGGCTCCCCGCTCCGTTCGTGGCCCAGCTGGGGCCCCAGACAACAAGGATACGGATAGATTTCCAGCACCTTCCAGAGGTGGGTCCCTGGTGCCTTGAGAACCTGACAGGCACCTAAACACCCTCCTGTCAGAAAAGCTCTAATATGCAGAGGCAGGGACCAGCCTCGTGAGCACACGCTCAGGCCTGCACACGCCCAGCTGTGGGTCCAGGGTCCAGGTGGAGACACCCAGGCCCAGGGCCGCCTTGAGGGCTCCCTCCAGGTGTCCTGCGAGTAGGATGGGCGCCTCCCTGGCCCGGGTCCTGGACCTGCCTTCTCAGCCCCAAAGGGCTCACACTCACCTGCAGCATGAGCTCACACTCATCACGCCCCACGAAGATGAGCTCTCGCGGAAGCCGGTGGCGGTTACCACTGCTGCTCACCAGAAACCAGGAGGTGACACTCATCTTGGCACTGGCCAGGCCTGTCCGGCCCTGGGGGGAAGGAGGCGTTAGAGCAGGCTTCCCTCCCTTGGCCCCAGCCCCTGGACACGAAAGGCCCAGCACAGATCCTGCCCCCCTGGAGGTTCAAGCACCCCATGGCCACGCAGCGGCCACCCCTGGACACGCTGGGCCCCAGCCATACTAGGCCACCCGCCCTTCCCTAAGGATGCCTGCCCCTGTGGCCACCTTCCCCAGCTAAGTTCTCCCAGGCCTCCCTTGTGCTCTAGGCCCCTCTCCTCTCCCTCCTAGATGCCAGGCGTTGAGTCTACGACGAGGCACAGGCCACGCTGCCCACGTGTGGAGCCGCACATGCCCTCATGACCCGACCAGGAACAGCTCTTGAGTGGGACTCGGCATGGCCCATCTGGGCCCCCGCAACGCCAGGTGCGCAGGGCCAGACCCCATCCCAGGACACATACTCTGCACCGGGGGATGTTTCCCCTAGCCGGACACTCTGGGGTGGGCCTGGCAAGGAGGGCCAGGGGGAGACAGCTGAGGATAGGAGCCCTGAGCCATCAGCACACTGATCACTTAGAGGAGACCAAACAGCCCTTGGTGGCCACTGCAGCCATCCTGCTGAGGTCCCCAAGCCAGGACAGTACCAGCTGACCAAGGCAGCAGGTGACAGAGGTGGTGCCCGGTGCCCGAGGTCCCGGGGGCATCGTGAGGGGCCGGTATGGTCAAGATGAGCAAGGAAGCACCACGGTAGCTTGAGGGGCACAGTGGGGGCAACGTGAGTGACAACAAGGGCCAATGTCACCCAAGACCCGGCCCCGGGGCAGCCCGCACGCACAGGCTCCCACACAGGCGCCTTGCTCACCCGGAGCCCCAGAGCTGTGTCACCACAGTGGTGCTGGTGTGTGGACACCAAACACGCACACACGCTCATGGGACACACGTGTGCACACGGCCTCCTGTGATCCAGAGCACCACCCGCAAGTGTCCTGGCCGCTCTTCTCCATACAGACACGCATACTGCCGAAATACACACACACACACACACACACACACACGCTGGATAAATCACATCCCGAGCACCGCCATGTGCCGAGGGGCGTCCTGGGCTCTGAGACAGCTGTGACCCGCACCACCAGCCTTCCCACCAGCCGTGGAGGCAGGCAGCAAAGATGAAAGGCCCTGAGAAGGTGTGCGTGTCCCAGAGGAAAAACGAAGCAGGGAGGGAGGGGTGGGGGGGTCTGGGAAGGCTCCCTGGGAAGGGGACATCTGAGCAATGCTGGAGCAGGGACAGGAGCAGGTGGACGAAGTGGGCATGTGAACGTCTGGGCACTGTGGTCCAGACAGACAGAACCAGTGCAGAGACATGGGTCACAAGGCTCGGGGAGTCCTGTGGCCGGTGCTGGAGCCAAAAGGTAGTTCCAGGACCTGCTTCATCTCCGGAAGGCTCAGCGCAAAGTGAAGTGTGGTAGCCTTGTCCAAAAGTCATGAAGAATTTCAAAAACACCATGAGCGGAGCACTGAGCAGAGCAGGGGACACAGTGGAAGGGCATGGGCAGGTGCCACGTGGCCAGCCCTGGAGGTCCTGAAGCCACAGTGTGACTCAGAGGATGGAGCACAGACAGGAGATTAGACAAGAAGGGAGAGAAGCGATGGTGGGAGCAGTGGGGGCATCCCCGGTCCCTGTCCCTGCAGTACCCACAGCCAGAGGCCCCAGCTGTCAGCTCCCTTCTGGGTGGGCAGTGAGCAAGGCCATGGAGGCCCAAGTGACCACGCATCCCTTGGCATACCCTCATGTCACCTGGGCCAAGCAGGTGGGAGGATGTGGGAAAACCCACCCCAGGAGAAGTCTGCCAGAACCCCCTCCCCAAAGCCCCAGGCACTTCCTCAGAGTCCGGCCAGAGGGGCATGCGCTAGAGGCGAAGGGAGGAGCAGGTGACCTCCACCCCCTCCCCTGCAGGGCTCCGGAGGCCTCCACAACCCCAGCCTCCTCTAAAACCCCTCCTTCGGGCAGCGAGGGGGAGGGGCCCCTGCCCCATCACAGCCCCATCACTGCCCTTCCCAGCCCCCACATCCCACACTCTTCCATCACCTGCTACCGGCTCCAATAGGCAGCGACCCCACCCAGAGGACGCCACAGCCTCGGTTTACAGCAAAGGGAGGCCAAGCCCCGAGAGCCTGGTTATGCGGCCAGGCCACCCCTGCCACTCACTACCAGCCCACCCTGAAAAGGCTCAGGCCGGGGAACTGAGGATGTTCCCAAACAGCCTGCGGCCGGATCGGGGCTGGCCTGGCCATCGTTGCTAGGAGGGAGAATAATAAACACCCCAAACTTGTCCCCACGGCCGCCCCAGCCAGAAAAGCCACCCGCCAGGAGGTGAGGAGGGAAGGTGGAGCCGCCCGGGGGCAGGGGCTGGGAGCTGGCCGGGACCGGGAGAGGGAACGGATGGGGGCAGGGTCTGGGAGCGGCAGGAGCTGGGGCGGGCGGGCGGGCGGCGAGAAGGAGCAGACGGAACGGAGGCCGGGAACAGGCCGAGAGAGGAGGCAGGGACAGCGGAGAGACGGCGGCGACAAGGGAAACGAGGAGGAGGACGGAGGGAGGGACCGCGGGAGGAGAGACCAGGCCGGGCGGCGGCCGGGCCTGGAGGGGGAGGGAGCGGCGCCTTCTGAATCAGCGCTCGCCGGGGCAGCCATGGCCGAGCCGGTGCCTGGGCGGGGACCCCGGCGCCCAGGCCTGCGCCCCCCTCTCCAGGCCGAGTAGAC